GGGGGGGCACACAGGGGCAGTTCTACCCTGTTCTATAAGGTCGCTAGGAGTCAGAATCAACTCGATGGCAGTGAATTTGGTCTGAAGAAGTTCTAGGAGGGTTTCTTGGAAGAAAATTAAAGAAAGCCAGTGCAGATAGTTACCTCCAACCAACGCACCACCATCAAGTTGATGTCGACTCAGAGTGGCCCTACAGGACGGGGTAGAACTGCCCCTGTGGGTGTCTGAGACTGTAACTCTTACAGGAGTAGAAAGTCTCATCTTTCTCCCTGGAAACTGGCTGGTGGTTTTGAACTGCTAACCTTGTGGATTGCAGCCCAACCCCTATACCAGCAGAGCTCCTAACGAGGACACTAGGGAGAGAAGAAAATCTCTGTGTGTCTAGAAAACAGACAACAAGCCTCTCTAGCTTCCCCAGGGCCAGGTGCCTGGAGCTTCAAAAAGTTCATGGGAGAATTCCATTCTCTTTTAGTTCCACTTTGACACCACCTTTTTTTTTGGGGGGGGGGGGTGTTGTGTTAGTGAGAGCGCATCCTTGTAGCATGTGTTTTAAGCTCATCACTTCTGATATTTGAAAAAGAGTAGATTACTGATAGACACAAAAGTAAGCAAGCACAAATGGAGAAAGAATGAAGTTACGTGGTGCTATCCAAAGAACTGAGGAAGAAAAGCCGAAAGCACAAGAAATTCTCCCGGAGGGGTCAGAGAAAACATTTTCTTGAGCCAGTGCCCTGGATTCTGACTTCCAGCCTCCTAAATGGTGAGCAATTGTGATTTCTCTCGTTAAAGTCACCTGCTGGTGCTATTTTGTTAAAGCCGCACTAAGAAGCCGAGACTGTGTGCAAAGCAGCATGGAACATAAGGAACGTGCGGTGCAGACTTACCATCTGTACAACAGACTCCCTCAACCGCTTCTCTTCTTCAGTCATCAGAGTCAGCTCTTTGCAGACCACGGCCGCCAGCCCTACATCTAAACAGTCTGGATCTGCTGCCATCTTAAAGATGAGCTCCTCGTGCGAAAAGACGCAATGACGCCTTAGCCTTCGGTAATGATTTACACACTGACGTCCAATGGGCAACTGAAAACAAGGGACAATTCCCAAATTAAATCACTTGCTTATAACACATTCCAGAACAGAATGAGTATTTACCCTTCAGCTCTCCCCTTTTATTATACAGAAGCACAATTCCCCTTTGAATATAAGGGGAAACTATAAATAACCCTTCATGGCCCAGTAGGAATTTCCTAAGTGTTCCCAGAGAAACTCCCATAAGCTACAATGTTGAACTTCTGGCTTAAGCTGTTCATTCTTTACTCACAGTGTACCTCAAGAAGCAGGAGCAACTTAGTACACAAGTGAAGCAGCAAATTATTTTAGACCAGTCTAACATAAAGCTGCGCCTCCCCCTTTTTATTGGGGGGGTGGGGGGTGGGGGAGACACAAAATCTCAGACCATAAAAGACAAAATGGAAGTTTCCAGCATTCATGTTTCCACAGAACAAAAAGAACAGATGCTATTAGAAGAAAACGAGGAAAAAGCATTACTTAAGGAATCCACACTGGCTTCACAAATAAAAACTGGCTTTTTCTTTTCCTTTCCAACAACCAAAGCAAAAGATGATTTAGATTTCAGCATCTAGAAATCCTTTTAAAAACAAGCAGCCCACCGAAAGTAAATTCACAGAAGCGAAATTATGAGATTACGTTTCATGTTCCCTAACAAAAAAACGGACAAATGACTAAATGATCACTTTTCATAAATCAACAATTTCGCTCTTCAAGATAAATTCTGATATTTCCTGTACCTGTCGAGCAGTAAGTTAAATTATGATACTAGCTATCCTGTATTCCACACACATTGTATCAGCTGGGAAAATGTGGAATGGCTACAAGGAGTTGTTTGAATTTGTAAACTACTATAAAAATGAGAAATAAGATGGAGTTTTAAGAAACTGAAAATTCATCTACATTTTGAGAAAGGCAAAATGTAGTCAGTGGCATCAATATGAATATATAAGTACCTCTGAATTATGCACTGGACTGAGGCTGCAGGGAAGGACCGAGCACCTGCCCTGCTGCCTCCAAAATAAAAGTTTTTTTAACCGCCCCCCCAAAAAACGTACCTCTGAATTAATTAAAAAAATAATCTTTCCAAAGAAAACAATATATATCCCACATTAGTTGAAATAGTTCAACATTCGTGATCTTATCTATCATCTTATTTAGCTTCATTACAAGGATATTCAGAAGAAGAAAAACAACTGCGGGATTTGCAGTTCTTAATTATTATAATATATAAGTAGACTACATAAACTAGAACTCCTATTATCTCTTATGTTTGGGGGGGGGGAGGCAGCCCCATTATACTTATTCCAGAGAAAAACCTGCTATAACTTTTTCCCATTTCTATCACAGCTTTCTTCTACACAGTATCAAGGGCTTTCACATATAACATCTCACTTGTCTGAGGGTTATTAAGTGAATCTATCAGTATACTTTCATATACCTGGTAAAAAATAAGAACAAGTCAAATTAAAAGGGTAGCCCAAGGTCAAACATTATAAACAGTGAACACTATAAGAGCAGAAGCCATCTTCAACTCATATCTGAGTCATCCCCATTCCCCCACTCTCCACCTAGCCAGACACCATGGAAATCAGAAACTCTTGGTAACTGTTGGTTTAACTTTAAAAACCAGAGCTCAAACCCAAAGCAAGATCTTCAATCTTGTTTTTGCTAAAGTAGGCCTAGCAAGGAGCAAATTTAAAATTACAAGATCAAGTAAGACTACTCATTGTATAATTTCATTCATTCACCAAAGAAACAAAATGATGTTTATTCATAAAATTTAATATATTTAAAGTGCCCAGAGAAAACAAAAGCTATGATATTACTGCTGAGAAGGGGCACAAATAGCATCACCAAGATAAAAATAAAGTCAGAGTCTATTTGATAACTGTGCTATATTTTTCCAAATGACATGGTGTTCTCTCGTTTAATTCCTTTTTGATATCTGCATTATACAAAAGCAAGCTAATAGTCACGGGCATTATCATCATTTATACAAAAGTATAACCCGTAAAAATGACAATATTATAAAGATTTTTTTTTATATGAAAAGGAATACAGAAAACAAAAATATGGTAGGAAGAATAAAATCACCTAATCAGTCTACCAGAACAAAACTACTGACAGGCTATTTTAAAATAAAAATGTAAGTTATGTATTTAAAATGTGGAAGAAGTCAGACTTGAAATGATCTCTGTACACTGGGTTCTCTTTTGAAGATCCAAGAACGTTCAGAGAAAGCAAAAGCTAGACAGACCAGAAATGGACAAGGATTCAGAAAATATTAACTGTACATATAAAATTTTTAAAGCAGGAAAAAATAATGAGTGGATGAGAAAGGGAGGAACTATGAAATTCTCAAAATAAAGACTATGATGGGAACTCTAAATCATAGGTTCCAAAACTTTTTTGGCCTATGTCCCTGTTCAGAGAAAAAAATTAGTCAGTGACCCCCAGTAATTAAAAACTTCTGTATACTGACACTCATAATTCAGGATGAGATAGATATAGGCAACTGCTTCTGCAGCCGCACCCCTACCTCCAATGTTTCCAGGGCACCCCAGGAGGCAGCATGGCCCACTTTGAGAAACACTACTCTTTAAATGAACATTTTGAAACAGAACAGCTACTCTAGTCTTCCTTGAGATTCATGAAGCCTGCCCTAAGCCCCGCTAAGCAAACACCATCTAAGCTCATTTTACAGGAGTGTTTGCAGACGTACAACAGCCACTTGATATAGAACAGACCCAGTCAGCAGTACAGAAGTTCACGGCTTCAGCGAAGTTGTAGCCCTGGTTAAATCCAGAGTGATAGGCACGGGGAAACGTCACAACAAACTCGCCAGCACACTGATTGGTCCTGTATACCTAAATGCAAATTGGGAACAGGGAAACAAAAAACAAAACAACGAAAGAAGGGAGACAGACTTTATCAGTCAGCTTGTTTCAAAATGACTTTCTAAAATTAGAAATGATGAAGCATTAAACTACAATTATCAGGGGAAAAAATCAGGATTTAAGAAGTAGCCAGAATTCTACCCTCTTAAAATACTCACTAGAAACGATCAAAGTTAGCAGGAAAATAAATTCTCAATGAGAAAACATTATTCTCAGAGTGCTATTTAGTGTTTCCTAACTAGATCTAATTTTTATAATTAAGAGAATCCTTCTTTTATCCTTCTGCTGTAAACAGCAGTAAGATTAAGATTTCCTCTACCTTTTAGGAACTAAATTGATTAGCGCATATGGAGCTATGCCCTAAGTCAGTTTTTATCCTGAATCTCACTGTGCTTTATAAAGTTACATGTCTGTTATACTAAGGACAAGGAATCACTTACGTCACCATGAATAGAAGCCAACTTTATAGCAACTAGCAAGTACCTTTTAAAAGATCCTAGATTCTCACATACAGACACTCTTTTTTTTTTTAATTTTTTTTATTTCTAGGGGAGAAGAGAGAGAAAGAGGGGAGAGGAAAGTGAGGGGAGGGGAGGGAGGAGAGTGAGGGGAGAGGAGGGAGGAGAGTGAGGGGAGAGGAGGGAGGGGGGAGGCGAGAAAGAGTGGAGAGGAGAGAGGGGAGAGGAGAGGGCCAGACACTCTTTTAAAGACAAAGTAACACCGCGGATTTTACTTCAGATGGTTTTTCATTCAGGTTATGCTAAACATTTAAGTGAGCTTATTATCAGGTACCTTATATTTGAAAAGCATTATCAGACTGAACTGCAAAGTATAAAAGGTATTCACGTGTTACTTTTACTTTTATCATCTCATTCATGGAAAGCTATAAAAGTATTTTATGAAAAAAATATTATTTTATTAAATAAGATGTCTGAAAGGATAAAGCTACCACTTAGAAGGCCCATACTTTGATTATATAGGAATAATAAAGAATTATGATTTCTATTAAAATCAAGATCTAATACTTTCCTGGAAACAGAAAGGTATTTACAGCTAAGTGAAAATTAAGAGTCATACTTTAAAACGCTGTTAAAATGGTATTCTTCACAGTTTAATTCCATTTTGACTTTTCACACCACTCATTACAAAACAAAGAATATGTTGTGAGTCTACTTTGTCAAAATCCAAAACAACTCTGAAATTATAAATACTGAAAGGAACACAAAAAGACTCACAGGCACACCATGCTCCATTAACACATTAGGGTTCATAATGGTGACTAATTGATGTAGAAGATCAGGCTGAGATTCAAATAGCTCTGGAGCCAGCTCCCTCATCACCTCCTCCAGTTGTTCTGCAGCATGAGATGGTACACCATACCATGTCTTTGGCTCCCCCCTAGCAAAACAAATAATTAGTTAGCTAGGCAGAGCACGAGGCCAGTAATGCTAGGGTCTACTTAATAATTACAATTAACTTTGGTCTTATTCCATAGCCAGAGATTATGTTCCCTGAATCCTAGCAACCATCTTACATATCTGTGCTATTGTTCATAAAGGAGATTGGGCAAACATTTATAAGTAGATAGCATCATGAATACCAGAAAAGTAACTCAAAGCGCATCAAGTCTTTAAGGTGCATCAGTAAAAGTATCTTAGTTGTGGAATAAATGATGAATTATGTCTCCACAAATAAGTGTTTTAAATCGTAACATCTATGCTTGTAGTTATAATCCCACTTGGGAATGGGCTGTCTTAATGATGTTAATGAGATAGGATTAGTATATGCAATATCTTGTGTTAATCTCTTTGAGTTATAAAAGAGGCTACAGAAATAAACAAGTAAACAAAGATGGGGCAAGAGAGGTGTTAAGCCACATGAAGATCACCCAGGAGAAGTTCAAAGATACAAAAAATTCCCTCCAGAGCTATCAGAAAGAGATAGCTTCCCCCCTAGAGCCACCAGCCTGAGTTCAGACTTCTAGCCTATAAGAATTTAAATGTTTCCTTCTTACAGCAGCACTAGACAACTAAGAATTGGTTACCAGGAATGTGGTATGTGCGGCTTTAATACATAATGACAATGCAGAAATGGTTTTGGAATTAGATAATGAGTGAAAGCTAGAGGAGTTTTAGGTGCCTAACAGTGAACATGAGCACAGTTGGTGTATTGGCTACTCATCGGGCTGTAATCAGGAAGGGTAGCAGTTTGAAACCACCAGCTTGTTCTGAGGGAGAAAAGACAGGGCTTTCTATGCCCATAGAGTTACAGTCTCAAAAACCCAAAGGACAGTCTGACCCTGTCCTATCAAGGTCATGAGTTGTCATCAACTTAATGGCAATGAATTTTGGAATATTAAATGCCAAGATTTCCTTGAAGAGAACATTAGTAAAATTATGGATGTCAACGGTAATTCTTGTGAGGACTCAAAAGAAGTGAGGACAACTATTAGAGAAAGCCTCTATCACCTTAGAGAATATATATAATACCAGCAACAGAATGTGGCTAGAAATGTGGAAGCTAACTGTACTGCTAGTGACACTTTGGAAGAAAAGGATGCACAGGAATGGACACTGGTAGAAGGGCAATGCTTCTTATGCAGTAGCGAAGAGCTTGTTTGAATTATGTTCAAATTTGGTAGAAGGTAGAATTTATAAGTGATAAATTTGGTTATCTGGCTGAAGAGACTTCCAAGCAACATCTAAAAGGAGCCATGTAATTTCTTCTTGTCACAGTAAAATGAAAGGGAAGAGATGGGACTTAAAAATGAACTGTGCAAAATGAAAACAGAATTTAAGATTTGGAAATTTTGGTTGTACAAAATGAGAACACAGGAGCTGATACCATGAGATCAAGCAGAAAGCAAATGTTCTGAAAATGAAGATGGCAACAAATGTACAAATGTGCTTGACACAATGGATGGATGTATGGATTATTCTAAGAGTTGTACGAGCCCCAAATAAAATAAAATTTTAAAAATGAAGAACACATGGTTTGGAATGTTTACTAAGGATGAGGTTACATTAGCTTTTCTTACAGAGATTAAGTCTGAGCTGATAGACCTAACCTATTATTATACACAACAGAAATCCCACCGGTCTAGACTAAGGGGGAGAAAATAGGGCAAAAGGAAAGAAAGCTGTCTGTCGGCAGGAACAAGTCCAAAGAGCACTACGTTCTTCTCCAAGAAAAGAACATGAGTGCCCCTGCAGTGGCTCGGAGAGCAGCAGAACAGCTGGAAAGAGCACAAGCCGCAGAGCCTTCCAGGTGTCTAGATCTCAGAGGGTGTCTCTCCAGAGTCAGATCTTTGCTAACTTGGTTCTAGACTGTAAGACCGTCATTAAGGCAGGATAAGGAGGTTAAGTCTGCTGCCCAAAGCTAAAGGGGTAAGCTGCCACTCAGTTGGACTAGGGAAATGGGGCAGCCCAGAGCTCAAAGAGCAGAGTGTTGTCTCAACGGGTCTAGAAGGTAGACCAGAAGTCTAGGGCTTCAGGCCCCCCCACCCAGAATCCAGAACATGGTCAATAGTCAGAATTGTGGACCATTACCAGATGGTCTCAGTGAACAGAGGATTCATTTCAAGACTTCAGAGCTAATGTAATTTGTTCTGTTGGGTTTTAGACTTGCTTGGTACCCATAGTTATCCCTTCTTTCTCTCCAATTTCTCTAATTTATAATGAAAGTTTACCTGGCACCTGTTCTACCCTAATACTTTGGAAGCAGGTAACTTGTAGTCTAGATCCATAGGTTCACATATGAAGAATTTTGCCCTGGATGAACTGTACCTCAAGTGCCATATTTGGTTTAGAGGACTCAAAAGATCATATTTGAGACTTGGAGTTGATTTAGTACTTTTGTGGTGATACAATGAGGTGAATGTGTTTTGCATGTGGCAAAAGCATGAAATTTTGGAATAACTAAGACAAGTCTTCAACAGAAAAAGATAATATGTGAGAAGTATGTGCTTTTCCAAGAATACTAACATATTACTTTGATTCAGGTTCATAGGACTTTCCACTAACCCATAATAATCAAAGTAAAAGTCAAACCTCTTTTGACTATCTTTAAATAACTTCACTGAGTTCAAATTTATTATCCAAGGAAATAAGGCAAAGCTAGGAAGTGTTGAAATTTGGAATATAGTTTTTTTCTAAACCTTAAAAGGAACCCTGTGACATCAAGGTCATTAGTTCACACTCACCAGCCACTTCATGGGAGAAAGCTGCAGCTGACTGGCTTTGCCAAGATTTACTCCGCTGGAAGTCCTATGGGGGTAGCTAGCTGCACTATCCTATAGTCATTGAAGCCAAAAATCAACCTGATGATAACGGGTTTGGCTGATAAGCCTTAAGAACCAAAAACTTATCATCATTAATCATAATGTATACACTAGTGTTCAGTGGACTAGAATTTATAATACGGAATTACAATCTGAAAGGAAAAAAGATGGGAATTTAGTCATGCTGTTTCTGCCAAAAAACAAATGAAACTCACTGCCATCAAGTTGGTTCTGACTCAGAGACCTTGTAGGGCAGAGTAGAACTGCTCTGTGAATTTCTTTAGGGTGGCCAGATATAGTAGCCCCTACTTACACGTGGCTATAAAGCACTTGAAATGTACAACCGAGTAAGTAAATGTTTCATTTTACATCATTTTAACTAGTTTAAATTTAATTAGTCACATGTGGCTAATGGCTATCACTTTAGAGAAAACATCAAAAAAACAGAACACAAAAATTACTAAATGCCCTGTATTGCATACTATAAACTGTTACCTTCCAAATGGTGAGGAAAATATTAGAGTTTAAGATAGTGAGTAAATAAAAGCTGTGGGTGAAATATGTCAGTAATTTTTTTTTTTTAAAGAAAAAAACTGTTGGAAATTTCAAATATTAAAAATAAGTCAATGAGATTTTAATTAAATAAACATTGTGCCTTGCATATAAAAAGATCGCCAAAATAATTAGCATGTACACCAAACAAGTGTCATTTGGTTCAAATCCCTAGGTTCTGCTCCATACGTAGACTTTAAAAGGGAAGGAGTCTAACGTATCCTGAGACCCCTCTCTTCTCTCTGCAATCCATCATTCTATTTTGGGTAAATACACCCATTTTTGAATGGGATCAAAATAGCTTTGATTTCACAGATTTCCTGAACTAGGACAGCTACCTTCATGGGGGTGAGTCAGCTCTCCCTTAATCACGTAATATGATTAAAGCATAAACAAAATTATTCGGTATGTATGCTCAAACAAAAGACGTAGATACCAGTGCAGGTAGTTGATGGAATAACTCCAGTGATCTTCAATGTGCCAGCAAAAAGAAGAGAAACACATTCCTACATAGAGCCACGGCACCTTCATCCCAGAGATGTCCACGTTGATATGTGCAAGAACAGACTGCTCCAGGACAGGCATGTTATTCAAGTTCCAACCAGAAAGTGCATATTCCTAAGGAGGGGAAATAGTGGCATGAGAGAATACAAATGACAAGTGCTCAACAGAAATTTCAAGAGAATCTTTATAAACAATGCATAAACTTTATAATCTTCACAACACCAATAGAATCTGTGTTCGTGCAACTCATAGAAATATTCATCTTATCTCTTATTTATATTGTCTTTAGGTTATCCCTTAAAAGATGAAACTGTGGGATAGGTACTCGGATATTTACTACCAGGTCAGCAGTATGAATCCATCAGCTGCTCCACAGGAGTAAGATGAGGCTATCTGCTCCCATAAAGATTTACAGCGTCAGAAACCCTATACAGAGTCACTGCGAGTCGAAATGGAATGAATGGGCAGTGGGTTTGGCTTGGTTTAATGATTTAAAATATGCTGTTCTTACCCCCCAGCTTACCAGCAAGATAGTGTGAGACCATTTTTAATAGGTCACTCACTATATTTCTACAGAGCATTTGGTGGCACTGTAATTAAAGCACTCTGCTGCTAACCAGAAGGTAGGTGGTTCAAATCCTCTAGCCGCTCCATGGGAGAGGCATAGCAGTCTGCTTCCATAAAGATTTACAGTTCCACTCTGTCCCACAGGCTTGCTATGAGTAAAAATTGACTCAACAGCAATGAGTGTGGTGGCTCATGGCATTTCTATTTATTATTACATTTATAGAACAGTGTGAAATATTATGAAAATTAAATGTAAGAGCATTCTGAATTTAGGGCAACAAAGAAAACTGAAATGATGCAGAAAGTTACCACCACTCCCTTTCACCACAAACACATGTAGAAATACTAGGTAGACCATAGTAATAATCATAAGTTATTTCACAGAGGGACTCCCAGTGTCCAAGAAACTAAGGAAGGAAACAGCAATAATTAACAAATGGAAGCTGTTGTGAAAGTTGCCATGAGGGTTTCCCACTAAGAGACACTGGAGGCTGAGTTTCAAACACCCATACCTAAAGTCACATGTACTTAACATCCTTCTCAAAGGTAGGGTGTTCAGAGACCCAAAGACCATTTCAAGGAATCTATGAAATCAAAACTATTTTCATCTCACTCAAAAATCAGGTCAAGAACCTGATTAGACATTTCTCCAGAGAAGATAAACCAAAGCCAAACCAAACTCAATGCCATTAAGTCGATTCTGCCTCACAAGAACCATGATGGCTTAGTGGGTTATGCACAGGTCAGCAATTCAAAACCACCAGCCACTCTGTGGGAGAAAGACTGGGCTTCCTACTTCCACAGTTACTGTCTCAGAAACCCCAGCCCCAGTTCTACCCTGCCCTCTAGGGTCATTATGAGACAGAACTGACTCTATGGCAGTCAGAGAACATATACAAATAGTCCAAAACCACAAAAGAGTAAATTCAACCTCATTAGTCAATAAAGAAATACAAATCAAAACCACAATAGGACACCACTTCGCTCTCACTAGGAAGGCTATTAAAAAAAGTAGCAAGTGCTGATGAGGATATAGAAAAGTCAGAACTGTCATCCACTGCAGGCACTGCTGTGGAAACCTACAACTGCCATATGGCTAGTAATTTCTCTCACAGTATATCCCTAAGACTTGACAACAGGGACCCACACATCTCTGTATACCAATGTTCGCTGCACCATCCAGAGTTTGAAGCAGCTCAGTCAAAACCAAAGGAAACAAGGACACGGTATGCAACACACAACCAAATCTCTTGCATGTTTGATTTTGACCCAGCAGGAAACAGGTGCTCTGGCCCAAAGATAGCAGCTGACTCACATACCTTCAAGCAGTATGCTTGACCACCATCACTGAGTAAGGCACCACTGGCTATTTCCTTAAAAACGAACTATCATAGTAGAGTCAATTCCACTCACAGCAACACTACATTAGTTTCTGATGCTGTACACCTTTACTGAAGCCCACTGCTTCATCTTCCTCCCTTGGAGCGGCTAGTGATTTTGAACTTTGCAGGTAGCAAGCAACCTGACGTTTATCTGACAGCACCACGCAGGTCCACAAAATCCAACATACAAAAGATATGCTTGCTATGCAACATACATGCTGCCTTTGTTTCCATTAACCATGACTGAACAGCTTCAAACCAGTCTAGTAAATAAATGGAAACAAAATATGGTATATCCATAAAATGGAATGTTATTTAGCCATAAGGAGAAATAAAGTTCTGACATATATTATGACATGGAAGTCAGATACAAAAGAACAAACAGCACATGATTCCCAATACATGAATTATCTATAGTAGGCAAATGCAGAGACCAAAACTTCTTACTATTTACAAAAGGCAGGTACAAGGAGAAAAATGAATTACTGCTTTAGGAATACTGAAATTTTTTTAAGAGTGATTAAAAAGTTTTTTAAAGCTTGAAATTAGTAATGACAGCTACACAACATGGTGAATGTAATTACTGTCACTGAATTACATATTTAAAAACAGCAATTCTAAGCCCTAATAGCCAGGCACCATCCTCTGTCTTCACCACATCTGCTTATGCACCCAGTTTGTCTTCAGCGATCGTGTAGGGCGGCTGAGCATCACAGAATGCCAATTTGTTAGAACAAAGTGTTCTTCTATTGAGGGAAGGTATGAGCTGAGGCCCAAGGCCCATCTGCAGCTTCAGTGTATTGCCTTATAAATATATGTACATAGGCCAATACCACTATTGTTATGAATGTATTTACATAAGTGCACACCTCTGTTAATCTCCCTGTCTATGTCTTTGCTTCCTAGAGCTTGCCTCTGCTTCCTTTGCCTCCTCCTGGCCCACCATCACTTTCCCCCTTCTTCCACCTCCTAGTGCTTCCTCTCCACTAGCGTGGTGTTGCTCTAACACTCAAAGGATCTCCACCCTCTCCTAGATGCTGGTTTCACTTCCCTAGTGAACACTTGCTCTTTAAGAAGTATCTATACAGGATCAAATTGACAAGAGCAACTTGTAGATAGGAAAGTGAGGGGACAGTGAGTTTTTGTTATTGGAAAAGGAAGAATTCAGAAATTACGAGTAGTGAATAGCCGCACAACTTAAAGAATATAACCAATGTCATTAAACAGTCCATGTAGACATTGTTAAATGTGCTGTTTTGTATATTCTCAACAACAAAAGAAATTAGGAAGGGTTGTGCTGCTTTCAAGGAGCCATGGTAGTCCTATGGGCAGCTAAAAGCAAGATTTAAGGCCACAAGTTCAAACCCACCAGCCCCAGAGGAACAAATGTGAGGCCATCTGCTTCTAAACTCTACTGCTGATGGGGTCGCTATGAGTCAAAGTCTACCAGATTGCAATGGGTTTAGGTTTCTAGTAATGTTGCTATCACATAGATAGACTTGTGAGAAAGGAATTGACCAGAATCAGAAAAACACATTATATAATAATAAAATGGTCAACCCTTCAAGAAGGTTTAACAATTCTTGATGTGAACACCAAACAGCAGATAACCAAAGCGTCTAAAGAAAAACTGACAGAAGTGAAAGAAGAAACTGACACACTACAATTATATTTGAACTCAATAGCCTTTCAACATTAAAAAAAGGACTAAACAAAGATATAGAAAAACTCAACATCACCACCAGCTAACAGGGTCTAATTAATATTTCCCACATAATCTAGACAACAGCAGATTAATTATACTTTTATTAATGTACCCAAGAAACATATAGACCATATTCTGGGTCACTAAAAAAAAGCCTCAATCGATTTTTAAAAATTGAAATCATACACAGTATGTTTCCAACCACAACTGAATCAAACTAGAAACCAATAACAAAAAGCTAACAGGAAATTTTCCACACACTTGGAACATACATATAAATCATCCATGCTGTTGCGAGTTGGATCTGAGCCATAACAATTTTATGCACAACAGAACAAAATGCTGCCAGGTCCTACGCCACCCTCCCAAGTGCTTCCAGGCCTATCGTTTCAGCCATGGCCTTCCTGTCCTTGGCTGCTCCCTCCCTTTACCAAATAGCACGCCCTGCAGGGACTGCTCTCTCCTGAAAACACGTCCAAAGCAAAAAACTCTCAAGGAGAAAAATACACTGAACTATATGAAAATGAAAATACAACATACCACAATTTATAGGATATAGCTAAAGCAGTGATGAGAGGGAAACTTAGAACACAAAATGAACACATTGAACAAGAAAAATGGGAAAATCTCTTATCAACAAATATTAACTCCCACCTCAAGAACCTATAAAACAACAAACAAAATAAACTCAAAGCAAGCAGAAGGAAAGAAATAATATTGGCATGAACAGAAAACAATGAAATTGAAGATAGATAAAATTCAATGAAACAACCAGATGATTCTTTAAAATGATCGATAAAATTGACAAACCTCTAGTGAAGAAAAAGAGACAACACAAAATATTAATATGAGGAATGAACTTAGGTAACACTACAGGCCCTGCACACTTTTAAAATCTGACAATTTAGATGAAATGGATAAATTCCATGAAAAATACACACTGCTATAAGTCAACCAATACAAAACACATAATTTCACTAGTCCTTTATCATCAAGTAAATTGAACAGCATTAAAAAAAAACACTTCGTCCCCCACAACACTCTCCAGGCTGAGATGGTTTTACTAGATAATTCTATCAAACATTTAAAGAATTAACACTAGTTCTACCCAATATCTTTTAAAATATAGGAAAAGAAACTTCTCAATTCATTTAATAAATTAGAATTACCCAGCACTAACATCAGGGCAAAAAAGAAAACCTGTAGACTAACATTCATGAATAGATATTGAAAGCCTTCATAAAATAATAGCAAAAAGAATTCACCAACATATATAAAGAAGTGTGCACCACAGACAAGTAGGGTTCACATTTCCTGGGACACAAGTCAAGCTCAATATTTGAAAATTAATCACTGTAATCCACCATCTGAACAGGATAAAGAAAAAATACAAGCAAGCATATCGATGCAGAAAACATCTTTGACAAAACTCAATACCTACTCATGATAAAAACTGTCAGAAAATAGGAACAGAGGAAAAGTTTCCTCGAGTTCCTAAATAATATTCCCAAAATACTCTAAGTTAACAAGAAAAAAGACAAAGGTGATTGTGACTGAGAAGAGACACAAGAGGAACTTCAAAGAGGATAAAAATGCCTACTTCAGAATAGGGGCATGAGTTAATGGGTTAGCAAATGGTATAAAATGAATAGCTAAGATTTACACTTTTGTCAAATGATAGGGTCAAGATTTTCACTTATCGATTTATGTAAATTTTTCAAAAAGGAAGGGGGATCATAAAATCAAACTCGAATGGCAGACTTTTTGAGTCTGGATGCTAGGTATTAAATGAGGAAGGTGTGTCATTGTGTTTACTTTGTGTATCTCTGAAATTTAAGATTCCACAGTTTATGGGGGGGAAACCGCAAAAAAGGAGTTTAACAACCAATGACAATGCTGACGAGATAATTTGTTAACTAAAAGTTTTGAGGACATCACTCAGAATGCAGTAGAGTCATGGAAACTATAAAAGTGAATGTAAGAGTTAAAGACAGAATGAAAAAGTTCGATCTAACTATAAAATTCCAATAAGAAATAAGAGACATGACTCCTACCCTAAATAAGCCAAAATAGAGGCTTTCAACTGAAAATCTGAGACACACACACACAAACACACTTGAAGTTAGGCAGCTAATCAACTAATATAAGTCCTTTACTGAAAGGCAGTTTTCTACAAAGGCTAAGACAATTTTTGAATCAATAAATAAAGTTGGGATGATATAAATTGCACCTCTTCTTCTGGCAGCATCTTTCTCCGACCATCCTTTACAGGAAATCCACTTCCAAAATCTTTTGAGGAGATGTCAGCCCCATACTCTACAATAACATCTTCTTCAATGCTGCTCACCAGCCGCCAAAATTCTTTTTCTACTAATTCTGTGGGAACCATCTACATAGGGAAAACAAACATATAGATTATTAACTATAGCATAAGACATAGCACAAGTGAATATTAACCCACAATGAGATGGACAACTTTCTTGTTTCTCAAGGGTTAAAAGACAAGGTCATAGATTTTCCTGAATAGCCAACCACTAGAGGATGTAAAATACGGACTAAGCTGACCTTTTTCTGCAAGAAGCTGCTTGCAAGAAGGACAAAGATGAACCAGAGCATCAAAAAGGATCAAGGAAATGCAAAAACCAAGGCTGAATTTCAATTGTCTTGGCAAATATTTTTGGTCAGGTCTGAAAAGTTTAAAATGCCTTAAGAGAAAGAAGCAAATCCCACGGCACAAATAACAGAAATCAGCAGTTGCCATGTACTGCATTCTTTTCTATCAGGGATTACTCACATAGGGCTAAGAAATACTTCAAGCATCAAAATACATTTCTCAAGAGAAGAGTGAACACAGCTACATTAAATAAAAGAAATAGAAGTCAGCCCCTTAATTCTTACATTTGGTAGTATCATCATTTTTATGCTGTCTTGCTTTCTATTTCACGAAGTAATAAAGTAGAAAGCAAACCAAAATGACTTAAAATATACTCACATGGACTGGCATATTAAAATAATCAGACTTAAAATTATCTGCCATTTCTCCGAAGCTCTGCAGGGTATACTCTCGTACAGCTTGTTCAAATCCAAAGGCTTCTCGGGGTTTGTTACATTCCTAGGGGGAAAAAAAAAACTAGGACTAACTTAATGAAACTCAACTGAGCAAACCACTAATGTTCTCCAGACACCAGCTTCCTTATTGTCCTAGGTAAAGTAAAACTAATCACCTATACAGCAAAATGAGTATAAAATATTTGTACACTGTGATATCAAGAAATAATGTTCTGGAGTTCCAACTGCATTTTCGCAGCCTTCCAGCAAGAAGTAATAATGAGGTAACTTTAGACTTGGGAGTGGCATTACACTTTGAAACCAAGACAAAGCCCCTAAAAGACTACTAACTGGAAATCAATCATGCCTCTTATTCTTAGCATGCCAAGCGGTTTCAAAGAGAACATAAATGTTCACAAAAGAAGCCAATGTAATGGATAAAAGAATAACTAGTGGGTTACCTAGGGTGTCTGAATAAAAGATTTATTCACACTAGTTATCAATCACCATGTCTAATGTCATGGTACCAATATTCACTTAGAGTAGAGCTGCCTCTGAGTTATCTGACTGTGTGAATAGTAAGTTGTAGTGAAAATACCATAAAAAGTTGTTTGTTTTTTTTAAATACAACCAGTCAACAGTTTCCCTTCAATGGTCCATCATAGCATCACATTAAAATAAGTGAATGTGGTGGTGGTGGGTGGGGAAGGGAGGGGAGGAGCATAAATGAACGGGGGGAAAAAAATAAGTGAATGTGCAAACTAGGCGTTTCATTTGACAATGCATCATCATAATCTTTCAATAAGAAGTACTTAGCATAATATCAAAACTAGGATAAGTGAGCAAGACTCCATAGGTTTCCATTTTAGCATGAAAAGTTGATGCATAAATTCTATGTCCTAGAACTTCATGTCTCACTTTCTACTTTTATTGAAAAGGCAAAAACCAATGAAACTACAAAAATTTTATTGTTGTCCAGAAATAGAAATACTCTGAGTTAAAGTTCCATTCATATTCATCTGCAGCAATAAAGACAACTAACCCATAGGGGGAAAAAATAAAACAAAACTAGGAAAAGCAAGCTGATTACCATTTCCATTTACTAAAGCTCTTTAAATACGGAGATTTTAAACACTGACTAACAAAGGGAGGCTAGAGTAAACTTTGGGTGTGTGTGTAACCATGCCTTACTGTTCTTCATTTTAAACAATACATCATAAAGGGTAGGTATGTACCTCAGCAACACATTTAGGGCACCTCCAGTCCCCTTTGGGTACATCCGGCAGTGGGGGAATGAGACAAAATGTATGATAGCTGTCGTCACATCCATCACATAAAAGCAATTTATCCTCATTGTTTCCTCGGCCACAAAACATACAAACATAGAGATCAACCTGTTAAAAAAAAAAGTCTATTTTCTATAAAAAATGATAGTGTATCTACTAGATAATTAAGACAAATAATGTACACTGAGAAGTCAGCATAACCTAAATCCTATAGATTTCTTCTAAATAATATTTACAGTTTATCATAAAACTGCTAAAACTTCTTTTCAGAGATTCTGCAGACAAGTTAATAAAGTACCACACATACTCGGTATAAGCTGAGTTTTCAGCACATTTTTAATGAAGTTTTTGTGGTAGAATTAGGCGCTTCAGCTGATATTCGGGTCGGCTTATACTCGAGTATACACGGTATTCTCTCTATACTTAAAGCATGAGGGAACCAAGGTGACCAAAGTCAGTTCAAGTACATGACACTTTAATCACAACAGAAACAATTTAAAGTGACCCTGCTTCGTCCTACACACTATACAGCGATTCATGCCATCAGACTATTTTTTTTTAATCATTTTATTGTGGGGCTTGTACAACTCTTATCACAATCCATACTTACATCCATTGTGACCATCAGATGATCTTGCTCAGAAAGCATATCAAGTTGTTAAATAAAGAGATTGCTTAAACATCAATTTATATTAATAAAAAACCATCTTTCCTATATGCAAAACTATTTGGCAGAGAATGGAAATGAGTAGTATAATATTACTGAATGATTTAGAGAAATGCATATTCATTTCCTTAGTATCCCACAGGGTATATGATTTAGGGGAACAGTCTATCCACATGGCAAAGCAATATTAACATTACAGAAGTCCAATCTTCAACTTTATACTCACCAAGAAAATTTCCACCCAAATAAGCTAACTAAATGGTACTCCATGGTAGAAAGTATAAAACTAAAATTAAAAAAAAAAAGCCTTTCCCTCCTGAAACATCCCAAAACACTTACAAAGTTAACAGAGAGAGTTCCTTTCCGTTGCCTCATTTGCATATTAAATGCATCTGACCGGCTGGTAACTTTTCGCCTCCGGGTCATCTCATCTTGAAATAAAGAGAATTATATAGTAATTATAATAACTAATGTTGCGATCTTACTTAAGAACTGGATGCTATTCTAAGTTATTTAAATTAATTAAAATCTCACAACAAGGCAGAAATACTGTTATCATCATTTTAAAATAAAAGAATCACACACCCAAAATCACACCGCCAATCTAAGAATTTGGGATTCCAATTAAGGCACTTCAGCTCCAAAAAATGTAATCACTAGTGTCACAACACATCAAGAGCAATTACAGAAAAATAACCAAAAGTACAGTCAGAATATCAAAGTTTTATGTTTCCCCACTCAGCATATTTCAAAACTAAAGTAACTCCTCTATTTCCCTTTGAATTTAGAAGTTGTAAGGGTCAGGTCACTAGGTGAGAAACACTAATTTCAGCCTTCTCTCATAAACTAGGCTGTAGAAACTATATTAAATATTTCCATATTACAAATTAAGGCATGGAGAGTGGAAATTTCTCTTCTAAAGTTATCATAAAAAGTCAACGTAATATGCCTTCACACACCACTTAAGATTATAAAAATAAAAGGCAATTTGCTTAGGTACCATGCCACAAGTTTACAATTCTTAAGAAATTCCCAAGGTAGGCTGCACTTTCAGCATCATTTCAATCTTGTTACAACCATGTTGTACATATTTCAAGACCAAATAAAGATTTTACCTTCTCCAAAAAATAAATATACATATATAAATGATTTTACCTTCTCTATCTTTTGCTCCCATTGCCAAGCCCACAACCTTGGGTCCAGCCCCAAAAATCTGAAGTTTCTTCAGCTCCGTGTTTCTATTCATGTCTCCAGATTCTGACTGGGGAAAAAACAAACTCACATGAGCATAATTATTTCAATTCTTGAATTTAATTTCTTGCCCAAGAAGTTCCAGGATTCTCTTCTAAACAAAGAAAAAAATCATTTGATTTCTCTGCCCTCTACTTCTAACTTGCTACTAAGACACTTATCTTTGATCAAAGAAAAACATGCCCAAGTGAGAGGAGTCATGACAAACAGTGCCAATCTCACTTCCCTTTGTTAATGATGGCCTTGCCAGGGAAGGAAGGGGATCCAGTGCTAGGCAAGGAGCCCTAAAGAGGCGTCTCTGGGAAGACTTTCATCCGCTCATGAAACAGAAGCTTCTCTGGCAATAAAGATGAACCCTTTGGCCCCAACGACCTCCCTTCCTGCTGGGGGAGGCATCTGGTGAAAGCATGCTGTCTGATGCAGGCAGCCCCACTACAACAAGGAAGGGCGGTGTTACCAACACAAGGAAGAAACTCACTCTTGCCACTGAGTCAGCTCAGACTCAGTAACACCCCTGTAAGACAGGGGAGAACTGCCCCTGGGGAATTCCAAGGCTTTCCATCTTCTGAGCACAGAGGCCTCTTCTTTCTCCCATGAAGTGAATGGTGGTTTCATCCTGCTGTCCTTGCAGTCGGCAGCCCAGTGTGTAATCCACTAGCCACCAGGGCTCCTCAATGAAGAAAGCAAGGCAGAAATATGCAAAGAGCCTGAATCCTTGATGAGAACGTGAGGATGCGTAACAATCCTGGAACTACCTATTTCTGAAAATCTTACATGAAAAATGTGTCCTCGGTGTTTAAACTACACTCATCTGGCATTCTAATACCTGAAGATGAGAACATCATGGCAGGCAGCAGGTGTTAACTCCTGAATTTAGATGCACCCTAATCTCTGTAAGCAGACTAAGAGCCAGCATTTACTTGAAATGTTCTAAGTCATTAACAAGAGCCAGAATAAAATACAGACTATTTTAAAAGTCTATGACTACACAACAGCTGATATAAGCAGTCTGAACTAATAAAAGTTCATTCAAAATCATAACTAACCAAAAAGATCCTTCAAAATCTATTTTTAAGCTTCAGTATACTTGATTTTGTTATACTAATAAACCTCTAGATTAAGTTCAACAACATAACACTGAACATTCGTTACCACTATTAAAATATACAATAATAAAAGTTAACATATACGAAGTACATCTTCCCTATCTAAATGGTTTAATTTGCATAACCTTTTGAAACAGACACTAAAGTTCCAAAAATATAAAAATAAAACTACATTCTCTAATCTTAATGGAATAAAACTAGAAATAATAAAAATAAAATCAAAAAGGTCCTCTGCCTGTAAACTTTTACCTCTTTTATTAAAAAATAACATTATTCGGGGAGGAGATGAGCCAGTCAGGGTGCGATGTAACAACGATGAGAAATACAGCTTTCCTCTAGTTCCTAAATGTTTCCTCCCCGCTCCCACTACCATGACTCGAATTCAACCTTGGAAGTCTGGCTAGACCAGAGGA